ATTCGAACCCGCGACCCTCAGATTGCGAGTCGAGCGCCTTATCCACCTGGCCATGCCGGGCCTCTGAATTAATATAATTCTCTATATCAATTCATCGATTCCATTATTTAGCTTTCCAAGTACTTTTGTTTCATCATACCAAGTATGTCAGTTTTGTTTCGTAACTTCTTTACACCTTCCATCACATTTTATATCTCCTAATATGCGTGATAAATTCCCAAGTCTCTTTCTTGAAGTTTTTAAACCAGCGGCTTTAGAATGTCTAAAGAATTATTGAGAGTTCAAAATGTGACAAGTTTGAAATCTTTAGAAAGACGTTAGTGAACCTTCGCTTGTAATGTCACCATCTCACATCCAGTTGTCTTCATTAACATCTTGATATTCCTTTTTTTCTTTCCTTTGGTTGCAATTATGGAAAGTCTTTGACAGGTTTAAAATGACATTTCAAATACGCACTTTTTTTTTCACTTTCATTCAAAGCTTATAATAAAATCCCCTTGGAAAGTATTTTACTTATGTCATAAAAAAATCTCAACCTGGAAAATTTCTGTTGTAAATCGGTGCTAGATCTTTTAGAATCATCGCCGTGACTGATAGATACCGCCTGCGATCGTTCTGGAGAAGGAAAGATAGGCAGAGCTTCTTCAGGTGCAGAAACTACAAGGGAGCTACTAGTTAACTTTATTTCAAGAAGCATGAGAAATATTGGGGTCATTTTTATTGGGGGTAAAAAAATTGACCACGTTAATGTCTTTAGCAAGCTATTGGTTAACAACACGGAGTAATGAAACCGATGAATTTCAATTATTTTTCTGGTATATACAAAAATTTAGAATGACATAATATTTGCCTGATAAGTTTTAATACGCTGAAAAGCCTCAGAGTAAATATAAATCGGTTGAGGACTTTACGGCCTATGCACGACAATATAAAATGTTTAATTAACAGTAATTTGTGGTTTGTGGATATGTCAGTCAGCCAAAGATCTTATAACTTGAACAAAGGATCTTGAGACAGTGTTTTAAACACTTTGGGAATAAACCTCAATTCTAGGATTTGTTTATAGTCTTCTTGGACGTTATTTTCACTCTTGATAATGCTTTTTTTTAATTCAAATATCTCTGTTTGACATGTTTGAAAGGCACAGGAATTTTGACAAGATATCAGATAAATTTGGTACGGTGGGAAGGCAAACTATTCGGATGATCTCGAAAATATTTGGTAAACGTCACGCTAATGATGCTTTACAAAGTTAACGGGGACGCTATATTCTCATGATATTCTAAAGAACGGCAGCATAAACATATTTAGCATCAGAAAAGAAACCAAACAACCCGAACCCTTTCTGAAAATGGACTTTTCTTCTGAGGAACGAAAGTTCATTTTAAATTGTCATATTACGCAATACTAGTTTTAAAAAACAAAGTATTTGATGGATATTTTACACACTCTTGTCTTTTTTTTTTGATGATACCAAACTTGTCTATGATGAATTTTTATGACAGTCTTCTCCAAAAAACAACAAGAACGTAGTTATTATCTCGTAATGGTATTCACAAATAATTAGCTTTTCTTCATATCCCGTGATTTCCTGTAAATCTGTTGTAGCTGAGGTCTTGTTGTTGGACTAAAAAAATTTGCTGTGTATTGTGAGAAATGTAAACTATCTCAAAGCTTGTATGTTTGGATAAGTATGGTTTTGCTTTTTTTTGTCACATTTTTCCTTTATTTTTTAACTTTGGGGTGGGGGTGACAAAGGTGCCATGTTGCTAGTAAGACACTAATGCGGCTTTAAATTTCTGTGCTTGTGGCACTTCCCCTTTAAACCTAGCGCTTACTTTACTTATGGCTCTTCCACCTTGAAATCTCTCGTGGCTGTCTTGGTAGTCTTTTACACGCAAATCTGAGTGTAGGAGTGCTCAAACTGTGAATTTATCCACGGAGTCGGTGCTTTTAATAAAACTTAAATTTTTATTTTTCGTCTTTACTCTATTTAATTAAAGTGGCTAGGCATTTTCCTCCCAAATTAGGGTTTTACGCAATGTACTTTTGTGAAAAAAAGCCCGTTTCTGCGGGTGGTCACACCTCAGAGCACCCACGGAGTCAGCGCCTATTATCGATTTACTGCATAAAATAACGACTAGCTCAGAATTTAGAACAGACTCTGCGTTTTTCCTCTTTTCCTTCGTTAGATGATTTTGTTTTGCTTAACACACACAGCTTAAAATAAATAATAACGCTAAGAACGAACTAAAGCGAAACTATCCATTAAAAATTTGTTCTTATAATTATTACTTTACGAAAGTGATATTTATTAGGTTTATATTTCATTTATATATGTCGAGTTTGCATTCTACCTTTAGCAAGAGCCCTTGAGCTTCTTAATGAGATGATAAATCATTTAAAGGGTTGATACTAATGTTCAGCTGCGCTTTATCAAATATCTTATACTTTCATTGTAATGTGTCTTCAGCGAAGTACCCTGTTTCAGGGTACTGTAAAGTCATTACGTTTATGTCAGGCTTTTGACATAGTATTTATGTATACAAGAACTGCCTCGTGCACGTGCTCTTTCATACAAATTTTTATTCGCTAGAAGTTTAGAATTAATGGCAAAGCCATTCGCCATTCGTTACCATTAACGAATGACTCATGTTTATAAACTACATTTGACAAAGCGATTAATTAGTTTATGTAAAACTTGTTGTCAGAGAATTGTAGATATTACGAACCAAATTATACTGCTTGATACATGCTGGGTTCTAATACATCGGATCTTTTTTTGTTATAAGTATATAATAAAGATTATTCAGACAGCAGTGAAGCCTTACGATGAATATATTCTTTATTTTCCATTTGTGACCATTATCAAGACTTCTGATATCTTATCCAAGATAAATATGTATCTTAAAAACTTACTTCAAGTATTCACTGTTAACATTGTTAGAATGACAAGAACTTCTTAGATAATTCGGTAATAATAAGTTTTCACATTGCATATGCAATATTGTAATGTGCTTAATGCAATTTCAGATTTCAATAAAAATTTATACCGTTAATTTTTATGTACCCTCAATTTTTATAGGATACAATATGCATTCTTTCTTTATGTAATATATTATCGCCTTGCTTATATATATTTGGAGATTTTGTCTGAAATATTACTTCAGTATAGGCTAGTCACCATGAATAATCAAAATAAGAGATACACTAATTTAAAAAAAACTACAAAAATATAGCCAAATCGCTGACCAAGTGTAAAAAACACAATATGTTTTTGTTATATAAATATGTCTTAAACGGAAGTCAACTCTACTATATGTGTTTATACGTACTTAAATAAAGAGCCATTTGAAAAAAAATGCTGTCCATTCCTAAAGGTCATCATGTACGTAACTTAAGGTCATCATGTACGTAACTTAAGAGTAATATGGATGAATATTTTTGAACCGGAGATTTATCACACCAAAAATAAAATAAAAAAGCTGAAGTGGAATGACCACCAAACCAGAGTAAAGCCAACCCAATTCGAAAATTTTTATTAAAAATGACGAATGAAAAATGTTAATTCAAACAAAAAGTGTGTTTCTTACCTCAATTATTTTAGATTAAAGAGGAATACAATTTCAAAGCCGAAATGTGAATTTTCGGACCTGTTTGTCTGGCCTCATAGATTCCATTAGAAGACTTGACAGGTTTGTGGTCGAATGGTATCATTGTGACTATAGTTTCTTCGGCCATCTTTCTCATGGAAATAACCACCAATTTACAGCTGTTTTTGAAAGCTAGTGAACGTTTGACTTGTGAACCTTTATAAGATTCAATTCTTATTTTTTATCTTTTTCTAACGATACCAAGAGATTCATTGCAGTTACCTTTTTTATCGGAAGATCCTCTTTTGTAACCATAGCCTTCACTTTAAAAATGATCCACATTGGCTTAAGATGTAGTTTTCAGAGTCCATTGATATCCTAAGCTATGCTGTGCGAATGTTTCTGTGATTTCTATTGAGAACACTAAAAGTACCCTTATTCGAAATGCTTTTCCTCTTGGCCTTACATCGTTTAATAATCTCGGTGTAATTCTCCAAAGACTGACCGAGCGGCATTACACTGTGAAATGGTCGGGAATTCGTCACTGGTCAAACATACGGGTTCTGAATAAGTCGCTCGCTGCACTAGGGTTCACATATGTGACTACACTCACTGTATTTGCATGTGCAACTAGTTTTCTATAAAGTGGAATAACCGTCTATATTTCAAACGATTTTTGCTATTCTTTCGTGTTTTTTGCTTGTTGGTTTTTTTTTTTGATAAAATGTTTAAAATAAGATAACTAATTTTATCACAAAATCATTGTGAAGAATAGAAGTGTTTATTTAAAAAAAAATTCTGTGGCCCTTTTTGTGAAAAAAATGGAAACGAAATATATAACAAAGCAGTTTGTGTTATAAAAACGTGTCTTGGATTATATACCATTTAATAACATTCTGACATGCTCGTAAAAACATGCTGATATTCATTTGTTTCATTTATTTTTACTTGTTTTCATTTCATCATCTCTGTCTTTTTCTTGTCTAGGATGAAACGATCTCCAAGTCTTTATCTCTTTTCGACACGGTGTTGTAAACCGACAAAAGCTATAAAATGTTTCTTTGGGCGTGTCAGTCGTTGTATCGTCATCAAGTGGCATTGTTGTACACTACTGTCGTGTCTCTTCATTGCATGAGCGATGTTAAAACATAGGTGTGGGTAATAGTAAACGCAGCTTAATTAAAAATGTTGTTGTAACAATGTCGTGCGAGTGTTTCAGCCCAACCATATTTGTACATCCATGAATGACGTCATGACATTGAATATGTCTTGATTTACTGTTGCCGTTGTTTCCATCAAAGCTTTAATAACGTTTGTTGAACCCTTATCCTCTCCATCCTCCAACAAAAGAAGGCCATATTTATCGAAAGTGACTGTTTTTTTACCTTTCCTTCTGAAAGAACAACTACTTCACTTAGTCTGTCCAGAATGAAGATTGTAGAAATTATCTCATATAGTATAAGAAAATAGTATTATACAGCGAATAAAAATATATATACTTCTCATAAAGCAATTTGGGGTAAAAGGACAGTGAGATAGATTCAGTTCATTTGATTATACCTGACAAAAGAACGTGAAAGTAAATAAAATGAGGCACAGTCCATCATTACTTCACGTGAATCTACCTAGGATTAAAGAACCAAAACTTAGTAAATATAGAATATGAAATACATTTATATAGTCCAGCTTTACTTCACACATCTTTACCCCGGATTAAAGAAGATTTACAGTCCATTCTTACATAAACTTCACATAGATCTTTCTAGGGTTAAAGAAAAAGTAAAAACTACGGAATAGAGAAGATGAATTATAGTTTATCATTACTTCATATAAACGTAAATAGGCTTAAAGTAAAAAAAAACGAAGGAATAGGGGAAGATGGGATACAGTTCATCTCTAGTTCAGAGCCAGGATGCAGTTCTTACAACTTTATATAAACCAGTCTCTAGTGAATCGTTCCAAGAGAAAGTACAGAACGTGCCTTGCAGATTCTTATCACTTTACGTAGATGATTCTCGGGTTAAAGTTACAGAGAAACCAGACACTAACGCGTAGGAAATTAAAGATATCATACAGCCCATGGATAATAGCTCTTACGATACCAGATATCCATGAAATATTAAAAAGACACTTTAATCCATTTCTCGAAGAACTTTTACACTAGAAACGTTAAGGAAACGCCCATAAAAATTTAAATTATATATCAAAAGAAATCCAGTTATCCATCTTTTCTATAAATAGTATGTTTCCAGGAATAAAAATATCCGCTTCAACCTATAAGTTTTGTGAAGTTTATTGATTTGTGTGAGATACTGCAGAATAAAAAAAATATTTTAGTTAAAGCTTTCTTACAAAAAAGAAAAATCAAATGATGTTTATGATGTTTTATTTTACAGTATTCTATATTTTTGCTACATTTTATTTAATCGCTTGATTATTATACGTTATAGCTTTTTTTTCCGAAAGCTTACTTTTTTTCGTTAAAGAAATTGTGAACATTTATCGCATGTGTAACAATAAAGTTGAACATTAAAAAAACAGAAGTATCCTTTCAATATCAATACTTTTTTAACCGGTGTGACCCCTCGGTAAATTGTTCTATCATAATAACAATAAATCTATTACCTGTCATGAAAACTACCTGAAATAATAAATCTATTACCTGTCATGAAAACTACCTGAAATAATAAATCTATTACCTGTCATGAAAACTACCTGAAATAATTCATTTACATTTCTGTTCTTCTCTCATTAAAAACTAAACCATAATCATATTGTTGTTTTTCTTTATATACGCTCCACACAGTGAAGAAAAAAAAAAGGTTTCTTCCTATATACCGTCAGGGTTTCCACGAAAGAACGTCTATAGTTTCTATATATCAGTTTCACGAAAAGCTGCGAGTCATATCAGTTGCCAATTGCAGGAGTGTTTTATTCAGTTAAGAGTGGCGCAACCACTGAACCTGTTACTGGTTTTTGTGGCAATCACTGAACTTGTTACTGGTTTTTGTGGCAATGACAGAGGCAGAAATTAAAAAATGAGGGTGCTCAAAATTAGATTAGCCGTAGACGGACTTTTCGTAAGCTCTTTTCTTTCAGCAAGGTTTGTTGTATAGTGTATCTATAGGTGTGTAATGTGAGTATATATATACATACATCAAGACTGTCTTAAGGAACAACGTTATTGTATTTTTTCCTAGGAAGATTAATGAGGAACATTTGTGGAAATGTGATTCGCAATTTTTCTTGTTATGAGAATTAGAAATATATATATATATATCTGACAAATTGTCAAAAGTTAAGTCCAATTAAATTTAGACTGCACAACAGTTTGAGAAGGAATTAGTAATTAAAAATCTACAATACAATCTATTCATTCCAAGGACATAAGTGCTCGGAACTTTGAAACTACAACTTGCTGAGATAAAACTAAGACTAACGAGATGACGCATATTTTCACATCAAACAATTATTGTACTATTAGCTCTGATAAAACTGCAATGGGGAAACGTAGGCCGAAATAAAAATTTGGAGAGTAATGGTCGTTTTTCTAACTTTATTCTATGTTAATTCACTTAAACCTGCATACTGACTATAAGTAACAACAGATTTCGATTCGATAATTACTTTTAACACAAAAGAATATTTGTTGTGTGTTAGTCACGGCTCTTTACTTGTTCATCGTTCTTGTTTTAAGGATTCGTCAAAGCATATTGGTTATACATAAGTTAATCAAAACTGAAAGAAAAAATGAATTATTTCAGGGCTAATATTTGCACATTGATAATCATGAACCATTACTCAAACCTACTAAATTTTGAAATAAATAAATTTTCAAGCTAGCCAGTTAAATTAAAATATTATCAAACAAAGGGAATTACTTACAGAAACGTGTAATATTACTACAATGATTAATAATATTTATAATTGTTTTAAACTTTTATGTCAAAATCTTACAAAATTTGAGGATATTATAATACCAATCAAACATTCGGTTTATTACAACTGCCAATCTTAAGGGTTTTTTTTTCTAGGTTTTAAATACATTATAATTGTTTTTGTTAATTCTTATAAAAATAATGACAGGGTAGGTGTCGCTTCGAGAGCTACAATCTGAATTTGACATTCTTTTATTATTATTATTCTTTTTTCAACTTGTTATAATTAGTTATTATTACTCAGAAAACTTCTTTCCCAAATTGTTATAAATAGCGAACATGACTTAACAGCTGCGCACTACTGACGTTCAGCCTATAAATGCGCACATGAGTAAATGGAAATAAATTGAAATCCACAATCTTTGGTGTATTTCTGTTTGTAATAGAAATATACAAATTACCACTCCAGATGGGTCTAAGTAAAATCAAATAAATATATATCGTTTCACAGTTAATTAAACTTTATTTGGCATGCTAGTATTGATTGCAAATCAACTGTTGGGTGTGTATTACGTTTAGAATCCAAAGCAAATTTCCTACCTCTTGTGAGCTATAGTGTCTAATTCGACATTTATTTTAAAAAACAAAATGTTCTATAGTCTATGATATTTAGTCTGAGCTTCAAATAGTTTTAAATACTGTAAATTTTTATCCGTGGTCCGAGTTGTATATTTTGGTATTTCAGTGTATTTAAGAAATGTTTATATAATATTTTGAAAGTAGAAATATGTTGCAATTCATTTTCTAAAAAAAGAACAACAACAAAATATTCATTCCATCTTCATAAGTGTATCCCTGCATAAACATAACCTTGGCTTGTTTGCAGTTTAAACGTTTTGTACTTTCAGTGGAGTTTAATATGGACACTATTTTGTAATGTATCGACCACGTTTGTGCTATGTGGTAGGAATAATATCGATGTTAGTATATTGTATTTCAGACCATTAAAAAGTTGCAAAGTATGAATGATGTGCCAACTCTTCTTGAAAACGTTTTCAGCTTTCATATATATTATCCATAAAGTTTTGAAATTAATATGTGATTTTCAAGATGTTTGGATTATCAGTCATGATTTTCCAGGAATTTTGAAGTAAATTGTTTTATATAACACAGCATACCATTAAATCGAACCGAAGTCTAAATTAAATTAGATGTTTTCTAGTTCTAACTTAAGAAGTTATTACCTATAAGTGAAACTTCTAAGAGCAGTTAAAAGATAAAAAAAGTCGATCCTTCAAACACAAATATTTATATCTCAGACATTCAATTATATAATGTATTAACTTTATATCTGAGCAATTAATGAGATGTTCGTAACAGCTACTCTAAAGAAATCTAGCTACGTTTTCTTTAACGTAACCATCCACTGAATGAAACTTTGATAATGTAAACCTATTGGCGATTTTGTATGTGATTGTAAAAGATGGCTTGATTTTTTATATAATATCTCTATTAATTTTTTATCTTTTTAAAATCTCTCTTGCCCACATTTGTATTATGCTTTTATAATAGTTATAGCATACCATGAAGATAGTGTTATTGAAACATGGCATAGACATATACATCTCCTAGCCTGACCTCATTTAATCGTTAGTATCTTAAGAATATAAAACCAGGAAATAGTTATATACTGACAACGACACGATTCTTTTTGTTCTATTTTCTAAAACGTGAATTGAAGTTTTTCGTTTGTTTTGGAAGACAACTGGAAAATGGCATATCATATCCTTCTAAATGTTGATGGAGGAGAAGGGGTATTATTTTGTTATACCTGAGAAATGCTTGTCATCGTTAAGAATATCTTGAGATGTTGCACGAGGTATCTGTATCTGAAGGATTACTACTTTTTTTAGTAATATTGAGGTAAAGATTACACAAAAACTTATTAGTATGCTTAGTTATTTCAATTAAAAAGAATACCCAAAACTTATTAATGTGCTTAGTTATTTCAATTAAAAAGAATACTCAAAAACTTATTAGTATGCTTAGTTATTTCAATTAAAAAGGATACCCAAAAACTTATTAATGTGCTTAGTTATTTCAATTAAAAAGAATGCCCAAAACTTATTAATGTGCTTAGTTATTTCAATAAAAAAGAATACCCAAAACTTATTAATGTGCTTAGTTATTTCAATTAAAAAGAATACCCAAAACTTATTAATGTGCTTAGTTATTTTAATAAAAAAGAATACCCAAAACTTATTAATGTGCTTAGTTATTTCAATTAAAAAGGATACCCAAAACTTATTAATGTGCTTAGTTATTTCAATTAATTTTGCCAACTATTTTTTGTCCTCTTTGGGAAATGTTCAACTGTGAGAATTTTTAGCAAATTGCTTTCTTCAGACAGATGTTTCTCTTGTTTATTAACTGGTTGTTATAATTTTAGCAATAAAATCCCAAAGCAATCTAAACTAGTAATATATGTTAAATGAAAATGTGTGTAAAGTATTTTTTAGTTTGAATTGAATATGAATATAAAATAAGTGTTTTGTATGATACACATTGTTTGCAAAAGAACTGATATTGGCCATTTTGTAAAGATTGATTTGTGTAATTGAATGATGTATTGTAATAAAATGTTGAAATAAAGTGGTATTTTTGTGAAAAATTAAAACAGTGTGTTTAAGGTATTGTAATATTACACAGTAATATCTACCGAATAGAAATATGAAGCCTAATTTAACAGCTAATATTTATTTTGGGGGATAATTTATGTTACATTTTTGTTTGGCAAAAACATGCCCAATAATCAAAACTATCATTTTCTATTTATCATTTTAAATGAACACAAACTAACTACACGATGGACTATCTCCGTAGTTCTCAGCCTAAGTATCGAAACTCGGTTTTCAGTAATGTGAATCCGCAGACTTACCGCTGAGCCACTGGGGGGCCACCCACTAGCTTCGAAATTTATATTAACGTTATTGAATTTCTCATCAGTATCTTATATCTGCTGTGCTGGTTACTTACATTTGCGAAAACGTTCGCAAGTGTGTTTTGTACAAAATTTTAATTGGTTGCTCCCTGGTTGCTTCAAATAATAATAATAACAACTAAGGCTTATTATTTTAAAATGAAAACCCTTAGAAACACAATCTCTGCAGCGATTCTAACTATTCTTATATATTCATGAAAAAAAGACTTTAAGACAAATGTATTGCTTTGGCTTCGAGAGTACGTTAGTTATTAATACGCTGCTGCTACCCTGGCCTGGCAAGCTCGCTTTTTCGGCCATAGGGGCGTTATCATGTTACGGTTAATTCCACTATTCGTTGGTAAAAGAGCAGTCTAAGAGTTAGCCGTGGATGTTGTTGACTAGTTATCTTCCCTCTAGTGTAACACTTTTAAATTAAGGTCAGCTAGTGCAGATAACCCTCGAGTAGATTTACGCGAGGGTTCGAAAACAAAAATTCTCCCATCTTACTTTACTTTAAGTGATATCGCAGAAGCTTTTATTATAATGACGCTTAATTGCTCGCTCACTAAGTAATAAAGACTGTTTAGAAACAGAGTTTGACGTAGGGTAATGTTTATAAATTCACCCTGAGTTGCGTGTTTGATATTTATTCTAGAATGCCGCTTTTAAATGGTCCAGATAATTATAAAGATTTTGCCAATAAATCGTGTGACTAGCAAGCTACCTCTTTACATTGAGATTTTACTTGTAACAGAATTGTAAACAGCAACGTCAATAAGAGTGAGTCATCATATAAACACCTTAAAGACAAAATTTTGGTAATACACCTTAAATCATAAGCTGAACAAAATTTATGCTGAT